GGGGGAGACCACAACCCCCACACTCCATTCCTCCCTCAGCCACGTCACTCTCAGCCAACTCCCTTTTGGCCCTTCCATACTTTATTTATTACCTAACAGCATATCCCAGGAGTCCATCATGATCGACAGACTTCACTCACAGCAAGGGGAGGAGATTAAAACAAACCGTTGAATATACTTCCCTCCCGTCGTTTAAGGATAAGAAACAATGAATCCAAACACAAAGGGATTGTTACATCTATAATCTCGGTTTGACAAACGACGTCACAAAAAATGATAACAAAAAAAAAATGAAGCTCGTTGAGCTAGCTGACAAAAATAGTGCTTATTATGTTATATGCATGATATAGAGAACTGGTCCAAAATAAAAAGGAAGTTTCAGATTGGTTCCCAACGGGTCTGAATGTTGCAATATGGGACCGCTAATATTGAAAGCTCACGAATTAGCTTCGGCGAGCTGTTTTTTCAAATCATTGCACAAATAAAAAATATATTCAAATATTAATATATGATCTTTCATATATTCACTTTCAGAAAACAATTTGTTGTCAAGTAGAAATCTTTTTTTTTTCAATGGATCGCAGGGAAACACTAGTTTATCAGCAGAGTTTTACAAGAGCCACTATAACTAAGTTTTTTGTTAACTCTTAAATATTGGTTTCCCTCTAGTTTTGGCTAGTTTATAAACTTGCATAAAAGGAACTCGACCAATATTTTACGAATACCTACCACCCGCTAGGTCAATATCATACTTTTATTCATCGGGCAAATACACAGAACTGTCTGATTTTTAATCCAGTTTTTCTCTGATCTCGTCTCGTTACTTAGAGGAACAAATGAAATGAAATGAAATCCCACCAGCCACCTGTACCCCCGTAGAAATGAACTGTCTCTTTGGAGAAAAAAAATTTCGCGTGTTTCTCATTCAGTATATATCTCAGTCAGTAAGGCGCCTTTCTAAAAGTCCATAACAGTACCTCAGTAAGTCAAGAACAATTGTAAGAAACATTATGCACCCTTAGCGGGAGTTTATTTATGTATTAGTCATTCCAAGAGGCTATGATTGTCAATCCAAGAAAGACCTTCTCCAAAAGTCTCAAAAACATTTTACGTTCCCCCCTGTCTACTCCCGATCAAACTCCCGGGGAAGATAATACACCAACGGTCTCTTATCTCACTGAGGCAAAATGTCATTCTCTTACCGGCGTAGGTCCAAAACAAGAGACCCACTTCTCGCTCAACGTTTCATGCGTGTGTGTTAATCACTGTTGCGTTTTGTGCCGGCTTACACATGAGTTAGATTTCCAGTTTAGGAGCTAAATAGTAATCACACCAAGTTGTCAATGACATCATCAGAGTTGCTTATTATCCACTGCCGTGATCAGTCATTAGTTAAGGATTCCGTCATTCGCTTCAAATATTGTATTTACTTAGTCTTTTCAGTTCAGGCAACCAATATTTGTCACACTTGAACTAAAGCTCTGTTTTTGTGCAATGATTCGATTTTTCTTAGAGCTGATTTCTAAACCTTGTGACGAAGCCGGGAACCAAGTTAATATTAGACAAATGAGTCCAAGAAAATTTGCAATTGGAGTTTAACTCCTGAAAAACAAAACAAAACAACAAAAAAAAAACGTTATTACGTATTTTCCAGACTTCATCATTGCAAGTCACGTTTCGTTCCGGCATCACGGTTAAGTAACAATATAATTTATAGTTATTCTAACAAATACGTTTTTGTTTAATTTGAAACATTTTAGAATTATAGCTTGAAGCCTCCTGTATCACATTGACAATTAACTATGTATTGATATTAGAATGAGAGCGCAAGAGTGAAGTGATCCTATAGTACCCCCTGCTGCATGCACGAATCAAAAAGCAATGCATTCTCAGAATATTTTTCTGGAGTGGATGAAATTTCAACATTGCTTTTAGTTCCCCACTTCCTGTGTGTTTTTACGTGGTATGTTCACTTTCTGTTGTCGAAGGAAATTGGTTAGTACACGCGATAGTTGTTTTTCCTGAGAAGAAGCAAGGCCAATATACAGAGGGAATCGTGTTATCCCGGCGTGAAATTTATGCACATCTTGCGCTGGCCCATCCATTACTGATTGCTGATCAAAAACTAAACAAAATAAGACAGAAGCGGAAAAAGCACAGACGCCACAGTGTCTAGCCAAACAGGATGACCAGAATAAGCGGCAAAAAAGTTCAAATAGCAGGTTTTTAGAATGCTTTTACATTGTGTCACACAATATCGACTG